AGATAGATAGATAGATAGATAGATAGATAGATAGATAGATAGATAGATAGATAGATAGGAATGGTATCTATTATGGGAGCCCATAGATAACAAAAATACCAAAAAAAGAAAATCGCAGATCAGCATAGGGTGTGATATGCTGCTGATGAGTCTGAGTCTTCTCCTTTCGCTACAGGTCTCAGTGTGGATCGGCCCTGTGCCCGAGCTGTGAGGGTTGACTGCCCCTACCCGCTGTCCCAGATCACGACGCGGAACAATGTGGTGTGGGCACTGACGGAGCAGAGAGCCCTCCTGTACCGGGAGGGCGTGAGTAGCTTCTGTCCTGAAGGGGAACAGTGGAAGTGTGATATTGTCAGGTATGGGCCCCAATGCTGTCACATTTATCTCTGACCAGGCACCTAGGTGAGCCTTTTCTGGACAGGTTCCCTGGTGATGTCAGCCTTGACAGGTGGCCTTGGGAGTACTCCAGGCTCCTTGCAGGCTCACATTGCAGCATGTGGTAGAACATTTGCCTAGCATGTACAAGACCCTGAGTTCTGTCCTCAGTACTACATAAATTGGACTAAATGGCACATGCCTATAGTCTCATCTCTCAGGAGATACAGGCAAGAAAACCAGAGTGCTTTGGATACACATCTCAAAAAAAAAAAAAAAAAAGAAAAGAAAAGAAAAGAAAAGAAAAGAAATGAGAACAAAAAATGAGTGTATCGCTGAACATGAGAGTCACAGTTCTCATGATGTCCACTCAGAGCTACCTGCTGTAATATGCGTCTGTTGAGTCTGATGGTGTAGCTACAAATGCTCATTTGTATTTTTATCCTAGTCGGTTGAAATTATTTGTTCTGGGCAGCAGGGGCGCACACCTTTAATCCAGGGCTTGGGAGGCAGAGGCAGGCAGATCTCTGAGTTCAAGGCCAGCCTGGTCTACAGAGTGAGTTCCAGGACAGCCAGGGCTACATGGAGAAACCCTGTCTCAAAAAACAATAAAACAAAAAGCAAACAAAATAAAACCAAAATTGTCCCTTATGTATACCAGATCAGGATGGTGTTGGTTAGGTTCCGCTAGGCAGTAAATCTTCACAGAACTCCTGCTGGGAACCACAGGACTCTGGGGCCTGAGTGTTCCACTATGGTGAAGATGCAACCCTTCCAGCTTAGTGGGAGCCATGCAATAGCCAATTGGGTGCCATTTGGTGTGAGGATACTAAGAAAGAAGGAGAGCACATAGCAGCGAGGAGCTGTTGTCTGCCAGTAGTGCTTGGGTAGGCAGCATGCCAAGGCTGGCCTCAACTGAGCCTCAAAGCTGCCAAGGATGTCCCCAGATGAAAGAAGTAAAGGTAGATGTAGGCGGAGATCGCGTGTTCGTTTCCTGCCGCCCAGATTCCCAAAATAATCACACAGAAGCTATATTATTTGCAATACTGTTTGGCCAATAGCTTAAGCATATTGCTAGCTAGTGCTTACATCTAGAATTAGCCCATTTTTATTATTTTATATTTTATATATTAATATAAAATATTAAATATACTATATATTTTAAATTTGTATTAAATATATTTTATATTATTATGTTATATATTTTTATATTAGGTTCGTGGCCTACCGGCAAGGTTCAGCTCATAACTTTCCACTCTAGCTGCTATATGGCGTCTTGCAACTCTGCCTTCCTTCTCTTAGCATTCAGTGTAGTCTTGCCCCCCCCCCGCCCCCAGCTTCTCACAGGCCAAGCCAGCTTCTTTATTCATTAACCAATAAAAGCAGCACATATACAGAAGAACTTCCCACACCAGGTAGACTCATCAGAAAAGAGAGGCTTGCCCAGAGATAGCTATACACCACAGCATGCAGGGGAAGAGGATCAGGGGAAGTAGAGGTGCTCTTGACCTAGGTGCCTGCTCATTTGTGACTGGTAGTTTTGTTGTTGTTGTTGTTGTTTTTTTTTATGAGCTTTCCCCACCATCTGGGCTTTTAGTGTGTCTTTCCAAAATAGCCACATGTATGGACAGCATGTCTTACCCACCAGTGTAACTTAGACTCTCAGTTTCTTCCTTGTCACTCAATAATTCACTCTTCTGAGCAGAATCCATTTCTTCTCAATTCCAAGCCTGTTCAGAGACACTCAGTGAGGTAGCCCTCTGTATACTGTGCCTCCTGGGTGGAAGCTGATGCTGTTTTCTCTCACTCCCAGTGAAAGGCAAACTCTGGAGCCTGTCTGCATAACTCTCGGGGATCAGCATACTCTCTGGGCATTGGACATTCATGGAAAGCTATGGTTCAGAACTGGCGTGATTCCCAAGAAGCCTCAAGGGGATGATGACCATTGGTGGCAGGTAGGTGATGGTACTTTCTGACTTGGAGACCCACTTTCTCTGCCTTCTCTTTTTCCTTAAGAAACTGAATTAAATTAGTAGTAGTGCTTCTAACTACTACTAATTAGGTAGATAGACTTTCCTGTGGCTAGTATACTAAACACACACACACACACACACACACACACACACACCCCTTTCCCTCACAGGAAATCTTGTAAAGTTTTCTTTGCTTTGATACAGGCTGGAATTTATTATTTATTTAAATGTTATTTAGGCATTCATCATTATAGGCTAAATAAATCCAGTGACATCCATTTAAAGAAAGACCTGGGTAATAATGATGTTTAATTCTGAACAAATGGCGCTAAGAAAAGAGACTAAACAGTAGGTTTGAAACCCAACCCACAATTAAAACTCATCTATCTCTACTTGCTTGAAAGGCCTTTAAGTAAATGATATTTCAACAAAGAACTGAGCATTTCCCCACATACTCCCACAGAGGAGAGTACTGTGAGAAGTAAGGGGTGGAATCAAGCCAACTTCCCATGGTTCCAGCCCAACTTTGGGTGGATTTTGCAAGGAACATCTACTTTTCCCTCTTGGTACCATTCAGGGTTAAGCTCCTTACCCCCCACATTGGGCCTAAGGTTGCTCTGACAGATGTACAGTGTAATGCCTTAGCTCTATGTCTATAATTAGATATTCTAGGTAATATTTGAGGTTATATATAATTTAACAATACCTACTATATACTTATAGCCATATATGAACACACACATGTATACAGCACATAAACGTGTGTGTGTATGTGTGTATAGTGTGTATATATATATATATAGTGTATATGTGTGTGTATGTATATGTATATACTAAATTCCAGAGGGAATTTTTCATATTTCTGTGTACAATGTGCATACGTATGTGGGGGCACAGGTGTATATGTGCATGTATGTAGCAGCCAGAGTTGATGTTGAGGCTCCTACTTGATTGCTTTCCACTTTATCTACTGAGGTAGGGTCTCTTGCTAAACCCAAAGCTAGCTCACAGATGTGGCTAGTCTAGCTAGCCAGCATGAACCAAGAATCTGGTCTCTACTTTTCAAGTTCTGAGATTATAAGCAGGTCACTTTGCCTGCCAGTATTTTACATGGATACTGGGGATCCAGACTCCAATCCTGACACTGGTGTGCTCAGCACTTTACCACTGAACCTTTATTCTGTTGGTTTGCATGTTGAGGTGCTATGTTTAAGCCTGGGCCATGTTCTACCATTGTGCTGCATCCCCCTGTCCCTAAATAGCACAAAGAAAACTCTATCATTTTTTCATAACACATGAACTTTAGCTGGACAGAACTGTCATGAAGCGTAGAAGCACAGTAAAGTAGTTCCTTGCTTTCTTTGACTCTTATGTTTGGCTGCTAGGTATTTCCTTTCTCTTTTAGTTGAAGACCTGCCTACAATGTCTGTCTGTCTGGGGTGTCACAGGCTTGGTGAGTGACTTTGGTATAGTCACTACCAGATCTCCCGTGGGCACTGGCCCTGAGTTGCATAGCATATGCACTTGAGTCTCTAAGTGGAGCTCATTCTTCAGCACTCAGGGAGTCACAAAGCCAGGCTGGACAGAACTCAGAATGCTAAATATGGCCACAGGCTCCGCAATGGGGCTATCTATTCCAGCTTCAGTGAGGACAGCATTCACAACTATCCTGTTCCTTCACAAGCAGAAGGGCAGCAGTTAGGTGTGATATACCAACTTCTAATGATTTCTTTCGTGTTTGTTTTGTTTTTTATTGTTTTTTTATAAATTTTTTTTATAAATTTAAGCTCCCTGTAATACTTTCACTTAGTATTTCATTGTATGAACTGGGTATGTGTCCTAGGAATATTTTGTGTTTATGCCAATGTCTATAATAAATAAATCCAACAGGCAAAAATACTAGAGAGAAGATGGAAGATTGCTCAGCATATTAAAGTGTCTGCTAAGCCTGATGACCTGAGTTCATTCCCTAGGACCCACAAGGTGGAAGAGAGAAGTGACTCCTGAAAGTTGTCCTTCTACATGTGTGCTGTGGCATGTATACCCACACACATACATAATACAAACATGAATAGAAATAAATGGAATGTAATCTTAAAATACTGCATAAAGTTCTGCTGAGCCAGGCTTCCACCTGCTTCATAAAGAGCTCTGACACAGGGCTGGAGAGAAGGTTCAGAGGTTAAGAGCACTGGCTGCTCATGCAGAGGATCCACGCTCAGTTCCCAGCACTCACATGGTGGCTCACAACCACGTGTAACTCCAGTTTCAGAGGTTCCTGTGCCCTCTTCTGGCCTCTTAAGTACCACACTGGTATACACGCATACATAAATACAGGCAAAACACTCGGACACATAAAATATAAATACTAATTTTTTAAAATTTTAAAAAGATTCTGTCACAATTGGCTGCTAGTAAGGGAGAAGTTTCCTTCAGGGAGACAGTTGTCCCAAAGTGTCTCTAGAGCTGTCTGTACAGACTTTTCAGGAATGTTGTCAAGGGTCACACATCAGAGCCAAATGGCTTCCAGAATCTTGGGATCATCTTGCTTAAGCTGATATAATTGGTAATATTCACAATTATAGCTTAAGCAATTGCATCGCCCAACTGATAACCTTTTTTTAATGCTCATTTTATGATTCTAACTATTATACATTATTGTCTACTGGCAGCACCTGAATTTTAAAAGGAAATTGTTCTTTATCACTCTGACTATAATAAAAGGTTTCTTAAGTGAGGCAGATGCTATTTAATCAAAAAAATAATACATAAACAGACCCATGTAATTAAAAAGCATGACAAGGTGACAACAGCAGCTCTTTCTTCCTTGCCCTTCAGCCCAGCCTGTGGATTTAATGGCAACTGCTTAGTAACTCCAGTCCTTGTGCAGAGAGTTATATGCAGGGACTTGGTCACTTGGTGGCCTTGCTACTGGGTACTTGGATTTGGGTGTTGAAAAGTTGCCTTTGTAGGCAGGTGGTCTTGAGGGCCTGCATTGATACAAGACTCAGCTGGTATCCTTCCTGCAGGTGAGCATCACGGACTATGTGGTGTTTGACCAGTGCAGCTTGTTCCAGACCATCATGCATGCCACACACTCAGTAGCGACAGCAGCTCAAGCCCCTGTGGAAAAGGTAGCAGATAAGTTGCGCATGGCATTTTGGTCTCAGCAGCTTCAGTGCCAGCCCAGCCTACTAGGGGTTAACAACAGTGGTGTCTGGATCTCCTCAGGCAAGAATGAATTTCATGTTGCTAAAGGAAGTCTCATAGGTGAGTCCATTACTCTTGTTTTCACATTATTCCTACTTTATTTGTTTATTTATTTATCATGAAGACAGGCTTTCTCTGTGTTGCTCTGACTTTCCTGGAACTCTCTCTGTAGATTAAAGGTGTACACCACCACGCCCAGCTCTCAGTGGAGGGTTAGAGTTAGCTCTGTGGTTAAAAGCAGTGGCTCTGTTCCTGCACTGCATGGCAGCTAACAAATGTCTGTAACTCTGATTCAAGGGGATCCAAGGGGCCTCTGGTGTATAGACCAGACACACAAGTGGTACACAGACATACGTGCAGGCAAATACAGCTCATTTTTGTGATCATTTGTTTGAGTCAGAGTCTCATATAGCCCAAGCTGCCAGACTGGCCTTGAGCTCCTAATCCTCTTTCTGTACCTCCCAAGTGCCAGGATTGTAGGCACGTACCATCACACCTGGCTGCAGCTCAATTTTGTGTTTAGAATTCCAAAATCCATGCAGGGGTAGGCAGTGAAACAGCTCTGCAGGTAAAAGCACATGCCACACAAACCTGTAGACCTGTGTGTAGACCTCTAGAACTCATGTAAATAGCAAGATACAGCCAGGCATGGTGGCACAGGCCTTTAATCCCAGCCCTCAGGAGGCAGAGGCAGGCAGTTCTGTGAGTTCAAGGCCAGCCTGGTCTACTTAGTGAGATCTAGGACAGCCAGGGCTATGTAGAGGAAATTCTGTCTCAAAAAAAAAAAACAAAACAACAACAACAACAGAAAACCCCACACAAAAACAAAAAAGAAGAAAAAGAAAACAAAGAACAACAACCAAAAGAACCAGATACAGTGAAGGCTCCTGTCAGCATTCCTGTGAGGAAATAGGGGCCGACAGGGACGGAAGTGACCAGGAGTTTGCATACACAGCCCAGTGGTAGAAATAAGAGAGACCCTGTCCCCAAAACAAGGCGAAAAGAAAAAACCAACGTCTGGAAAGTTGTTCTCTGACCTCCACACACATACCTGCCACACGTGTAGACACCTGTGTGGAATCTTTTCAAAAGGGAGCATGTGGTTAGGTAACGATGGTTTAACAGTTAAGTATATGAGGCAGGAGTTCAGATCCCAGCACTCACAACAAGCCAAACATCCCACACATGCCTGTAGTCCAGCAGCAAGGTGCGCAGAGGCAGGAGAATCTTTGGGACTTGCTGACTTCTAAGCTGACAGAGAGAACTTGATCCCGAGGATCAGGGAGAGACCCTGTTTCAAATATGTGGTGATAGATGAGAGTACCCAGTGCCCTCTTCTGGACTTCATGAACATGCTTAAGCAATACCTCCACGATAACACATGTATGTATACTTACATAGACACATATATGTAAATATTTTTTTAAAAGTCCACCAAACCTACTGAGAGAGAATAGTCCATTTGCAGTGGGGAAAATTATGGCCACTGTTGAACACACAAGATGCTGGCCATGTCTGTGGATGACCTGGGTGTTCATTTCTGAATGATTCCCCCTTGATGGATTTCCTCTAGCTCTGTCCCCCGTGTAGCCTCCTTGGGCATCAGTAAACAAGGTACAGCTCATCTTGATGATGCTTAGAGACATGAGTAGCTCACGCCACTTTGTTTAAGGACACTAGAAATCACTGTAAGAGCTTTGAAGGCCAGCTGGAGTGTAGATCCAAAACTGAAGTGTTATAGTTTTTTTTTTCCTTACTTTAACCCACTTTTATATTTATTCTCTCTAGGAACTTACTGGAATAACGTTGTTCCCCGGGGAACAGCTTCGGCCACAAAATGGGCCTTTGTGTTGGCTTCTCCTGCTCCTACCCAGGATGGTGAGTCAGTCTTAGCCTGGCAGAGAAACCTGGTGCACAAGTTAGTCAGCAGCTGAGAACTTTAGACCAGCATCTGGCTGTGACGCTGTGGCTGTGGAGATGTGGCCTCAGACCTTGAGGCAGGGGACATGGCTGTGTTCTGAGCCAGCAGTCCTATGAGCTAAGCTGAAGGCTTTTAGCTGGATAAGTGTGTTCAAGAGAGCCACTGAGGGGGAGCAAGAGTGGCAAAACTGAATCTGAGATGGTATCCTTTGGAAGGAGGTCACCGTGCCGTGTGGTCCTAGGAGCTAGTAGCGGATGACTCTCAGTGTCAGTTTGTATGGCCATAATTTCCTGAGGTTCTTTCCCATTTCTTTTGGGGAATTCTGTCACTTCCAAGTAGCTTCATTCTCTAGTGCTTCTTGCTGCTGGCTTCTCTTTGCCCTGTGAAGATCTCATGCCTCAGGCTTATCTTATCCCTGCAGAGTTGGGGCTTCTGCTGCAGAACCACCCAATTAGCTGGAGGCCCTAGGCAGGCAGGTGGCCTGTTTGAGGAGCCAAAGCCTGTTCCAAGGGTTATGTGGAGGCTAAATGAGAAAGTTCAGTGATACCTACAGTGAAAGGAAACAGTTTGGTCATTGAAGCCGTCAGTTGCCCTAGCCCTGAATAACTTGATTCAGTATAGTAAACATCTGCCCACTGGACTATACTGCCCACAGTCCTACCTGGAGTCTCATAAGACTACGGTAAGTTGTTTCCTGAGTCTGACACAGCTGCTTTGCCCCTAGCTGGGGGATGTGGCCTGCAGCCTTCACTGATGGTCTGCGTTAGCACGCACAAGCATGCACACATGCTACTTCCCTGGGGAACTCTTTAACTAGTTTATCAAGATCTTTTTTTGTTGTTTTTTAAGACAGGGTCTCTCTCTCTGTAGCCTTGGCTGTCCTGAAACTTGCTTTGTAGATGAGGCTGACCTCAAACTCAGAACTCAGAGATCCACCTGCCTCTGCCCCTGCCTTCTCTGTGCTGGGGCTAAAGGTGTGCGCCACCACCCAGCCAAAGTTTTTAAGTTTAGAAAAAAAAAAAAGAGGGTTGGAGAGATGACTCTATGGTTTGGAGCACTGGATACTTTTTCAGAGGTCCTAGTTTGATTCTCAGTGCCCCCATGGAAGCTCTGTCTCCAATTCCAGTTCCAAGAGATACATATAATACCTTCTGTCTTCTGTGGCATGGGTCCTGGGAAAGCACATGATGCAGATATACTTGCAGAGAAAACATTCATGCACATAAAATAAAAAGAAATATGTCTTAAAAAGAAATAAATAAGAATTCCAAAACATCTGGTCACAAGTTTTAGATAATATTTAACATTACACAGTGTAGCCAGGATTTGAGTCCCTAAGGATGCTGGGCATTTCAAGCACACACTATTAAACCTGAAAGTTCTAGAACAACAGAAGACTACACGTATAACTCTTGAGGCCAGGGCAGGAGGAGAAGGATTTCTGCCTTCAGCAGCCCACTGCCAACCCCATTAGCAGAGGAACTAAGAAAGCGTGTTCCCAGGGACTGCTGGCCCCTCTCCTTCTTCGGTTTTGGCAAGGTTGACAGTCCTAATATTCTGTATTAAAAATACACTCTGAGGCCTTGATTCATATTCCTGGGTCATTAGAAATGGGGTTCAGAGCCAGTATCCCAGCGTTTATAATGTTCCATAGGCCCTGCTTTCTTCCCAGTTCTTTAAAATGTTTCAGACTTGATCTTTGAAATGCCTGATGGTGGTGTTCCTTCTACTCCAGAGATGTGGCATACCTACTGTAGCCTGTGAGGTAATGGTGAGTGTTCAGGCAGAGGCTGTGGCCAGTTTTCAGGGCTGTGCAGTGCACTGTGGGCAGGTGGCTCAGTGAAGCAGCGTTTGATGACAAGTGTGACCCTTTTCTGTAGGAAGCTCCTTGTGGCTGTGCCAGAGCAGCAAGGATCTGTGTAGCATCAGTGCCCAGAGTGTGCAGTGCCGCCCCTCCACAGTGCAGTTGCCTCCCGACGCCGAGATGAGGACCTACGCTGCGTGCCAGGATGCACTGTGGGCCTTGGACAACCTTGGACAGGTGTTCATCAGGACGCTTTCTAAGAGCTGCCCCACAGGCATGCACTGGACGAAACTGGACCTTACCCAGCTAGGTACGGCTAGTACGTGAGTGCTTCCCTCGTGTGGAAAGTGGGTTCATGTGACGTATGTCAGTTGCTGGGCTTATAGCTCAACTGGCCACTTGCCAGGTTAAATGAGCTTCTTAAATTTGGGGGAACTTTACCTCTCTTACTCCCTGCGGTTTGTACTGCTCAGAGCCACAAGAGCTATGAGGTGTCCAGAAAGTGCCACTAAGATCTGCTTAAAATTACGACACTCTTTTCTCTCTGATCTTTAAGTCTGAAATGGTGTTTGTGACCTGTGACTGAAAGAGCCTACTGTGGGCTGCTGCACACATAGGTGTGTGGTGCGGCTTCTCTTTCAGCTGGTTAAGGGGGTACTGTGCTGCTAGGAGTTACTTTTCTGTGACCTGTCCCAAGAGTTACAGTAGGCACAGCCTACGGTGGCATGAGGGGTACTTCAGGCTAAGAGATGATAAAATGAGCATGCAATATTATATTCTCAGTTGACTCAGCAACTCAAGTGTGGTTTGTCTGATACTGGAGGTAGAGACTATGCCAGGCAGCTCTCAAGGTCAGAGTGAGCTTGAACTTCAGTAGTTCTGTCTAGGAACTAGACATTGTTGTACACTGGCAACCAATATTTTGTGGACTTGAATAAGTGTTTAATGTAAAATAACTCAGCTATATGAGAGAGGGTGGGGGAAGAGTAGGAAGGGCTGTTTCCTACATTAACCTATATATATATCACCACCCTTCTAGTGAGCCTGGGCCTGGGCCAGGCAAGTGACTCTTAGCAATGGGGTTTCTGCAAACTGTTAGAAGAGATAAGGCCCTGAACATAACCCAGTCTGTTGTGAAAATTGCATGGCACCACTAGGAACTTCACAGGAATTGAGATTGTTTATGCCTTGGGCTTCATACCCTGTCTTCCAGGTCATCTAGCTTTCCAGGGGCATTTGTTAGCCTGACAAGACTGCAACTAGTTATGGCCCGGATATGGGTGCCAGTTGAGCCTGTTGCTCGGACTGGGAGTTCTTTTATCTGCCCAGAAACTCACTGGCCCTGAGCCTTTCTCCAACAGTCCCTGCCAGACTGTGGAGAGAGGCTGTTAGTATCTCTGAGAAAAACCAGGGTTTAGTGTGTATTCTCCTCGCTGCCAAACCTTGAGGTCTAGGGAAGTCTATGCTCATGCAGCTGGAAATGGAGCCATTTTCCCCAAATCAGTCCCTCCATACGGTCACCCTACCAGTTGTCACCCCATCCCAAAGGACCCCAGCAAATCTCCTGTCTAAATGTGAGATGTCTCATCTTATTGTGTAAGACTCCTGGACCTTCGGTTATAGCACTGGCCTGTAGGCTAGTGGAGTATGCACTTGAACCCCATATTGCACCACCATATTGTATACTGAAGCCCTGCCTCTCTTAAGTCTCTATCTTGCTCTGTGGTCTCATTTGTTGTGTTATATGAATGATATATATAATCAGTATATATAAAAGAAATAGACTCTTGGCATCATTTTCTCAGCATCCTGAAACGATGGCTTAAGTCTAGCTGGTAGGATTGGTGTTGGCAAGGGGGTAAGACAGGACTTAATAGGAAAGGGGTTGGCCCTTATGCTAGAAGCCTTCCCTTGTGCCATTAAGGGCACTGAACTGTACCTAAGGGCACTAGGCTGTCCTATACTGCATTCTCTCAAGTTATGGCTTGTGTATCTAGTAGGGAAAGCAGGTATCTCAAGCGATAATTTTAGCCAGACATAATGGCTTACTATTAATCCCAGAACACATAGAGAATTCTAGGCGAGCCAAGGCTATACACAATGAAACCATGTCTCCAAACAGAGTCAGTTTATTATTTTTATTTTATGTGTATGGATGTTTTCCCTGTATATTATATACCACATTCACACCTGGTGCCCACGGAAGCCAGAAGAGGGCTTTGGATCCCTAGAGCCAGAGTTACAGATGATTATGGGTACTGGGAATTAGACCTCTGGAAGAACAGCCAGTGCTTTTAGTCACTGAGTCATCTCTCCAGCCCCAAGAAATATTTTTAAATCGTTAATTAAGACCAGCAAGATGGCTCTGAAGGTAAAGGCTCTTGACAGCATACCTTATGACCTGAGTTTGACCTCTGGAACTCACATGGTGGAAGAGAGAACCAACTCCTACTGGTGGTCCTCTGACTTCTACACATGGACCACGGCACATGTGTACCCCCACACAAAAGTGATTGCAGATTTTGAGCTTAGGTGAGTATTGTCAGCCTAAAACCATCGTATCCGTCTCCTTTTCACCCTTACAAACTACGTGATTGCCAAAACAGTGGCTGCACCTGTAATTGAGAAAGCGCTGAGGCAGTAGCATCACCAGTTCAAGGCCAGCCTAGACTCTGCTGATGTCAAAACAGAGCCACAGCAGCCGGGAAAGGGATAAAGAGACTAATTAAATGGCTGTCAATTGAACCCAGTTAAAGAGGTAGAATATAGAATTTTACAGTGATTTATTCCAATCCTGTTTTTTTTTTAAAGATTTATCTATTTATTTATTTATCATGTATACAACATTCTGCCTCCATGTATGTCCACGCATCAGAAGAGGGCACCAGATCTCATTACAGATGGTTGTCAGCCACCATGTGGTTGCTGGGAATTGAACTCAGGACCTCAAGAAGAGCAGCCTGTGCTCTTAACCACTGAGCCATCTCTCCAGCCCCCAATTCTGGTTTTTGGAAGAAAATGTGTACATTTAGCAAATATTTAAGATGCTCATAACATTCAGTTCCCATTATTCATAAATATGCATGTCAGATACTAGACCATTTAGCAAAGTAATACAATTTGTAGTTTAATTCATTTGGTCACAATGTAATGAAAACATATTCAGTGTCAGTTTGTGCCTTTAGGTCACAAATAAGATTATGCCATGCGATAATTTATATGGAGAGTATTTTATAATTTAGGAGACAACAAGCAAATGCTACTATTATTCTATAGCGCATACGTAAAAAAATTCTATAGTAGGGTATGGTGGTACATTCATGTAATCACAACTGAGGCAGGGCATGTGCAAGCTTGAGGATAGGCTGTGCACACACTTTTTAAAAATCAATTTTAAAAAGAAGTGTTGCTTTTGGGTTTTATTTTGTTTTTGAGACAGGGTTTCTCTGTGTAGCTTTAGAGCCTGTCCTGGAGCTCATTCTATAGACCAGGCTGACTTTGAACTCACAGAGATTCTCTTGCCTCTGCTTTCTGAGTACTGGGATTAAAGGCATGTGTCTTTTGTGAATAAAGTAACTAAAACATTATCTCCTTAATTAAGCAAATAAAATGGAGGTTGTCAGGGTGGGCTCCCTCTCAGCCACAGCCCCAGGCATCAGCAACTTTGAAAGCTGACCAGCTTTCTGTTCCCGCGAGCACACTGGTGATATGGCACCGCCGAGCATGCTTTGCTCCCTTCAGGAGGAAAGAGCCACGGAGGAAGTAGACTGACTTGATGGTGTAGTTGAGAAGTAGCAGATCACTTTTGTTTACTAGAGCCTGTCATGGCTGCTAACTCTGAAGGAATGTGAATAATCCAGACAGGGTTTGCAGGGAGGAGCCTCTGCCACCCTACCCTGTGGAACAGACTTAACAACATCTAAAGTAAAACCTTCTTTCAAAAACATAAGCCGTTCACTAAGTCGTGTTTGTCTTTAACCTGGTTCTTGGATTCTGAGTGTACTCTGTAGGGTGCATGCCATAGGCTTCATTTCCTCCAAATGCATATCTATTCACCTTATATGAACTCCTGTCCCATGGGTAGAGTTATCAGTAGTTGTCAACTCAGAGAGGCCAGCCCAGTGTGCTTTTGTCCCCTGTAGCTGGTCAGCTGCTGCCTCAAGTTCTCCACTGGCAGATTATAGATTCAACATGAAATTGTCTTGCAGTAGCTCATCAGTCTCGGTCTTTTGTACTGTATATTGTTGTGGAAGTGCTTTATCATGGACTTCCAACATCTGATGTCAGAACTCTAAGAAGTTCATCTTAACTCTTTGGTAAGACATCAAGGAAATAAAAATACAGTTTATCTTAGAATAAGAGAAATTATCAGGTTTAAGAAGTATGCAAAGGAGTACTATCATCCTTTGGTATTCTGGAGTAATTGGTCCTGTCTAGATACTATAGTGGAAGGATGCACAAGTCCCTTATATAAAATACTGCAGAATTTCCTATCACCTGTGTGCCTTCCACACCTTAAAGTCACCTCTGGATTACTCACGAAACCTAATGCAGTGCAAGTGCCATGGGAAGAATGTTCACACTGCCTTCCTTGTTTAAGGAACAATAACAAGAAAACATCTGTACGTACAGGTCAGGTCAGTACAGTACAGCTTTTTCAGGTATATGTTTGTATATAGTGTGCATGTGTGGACATATGTAATGGGCACACATATGCAAGGGCACATGAATATGTGGGGAGCAAAGGTTAACACTGAGTATCCTCCTTGATTGCTCTCCACCTCAGATATAGAAGCAGGCTCTTTCATTTGAGCCCAGAGCACACCGGTTTGATTGCACTAGCCAGCTTGCTCCTGAGATCTGCTGACTCCATTTCTAATGTGCTGGGGATCCATTCTCCAGTCCTCAACCTGTACAGCAAGCTTTTTACCCTCTGAGCCATCCTCCCAGCCCTTTTTTGCTTGAAGGTTTTCAATAGTTAGTTGAAACTGTAGATGGGAACCCAAGATCCAGGGACATTTCTGACAATTGTTGTGTAGGAAGGAAGAAGTAGTTAAAGCTTATGTCATGAAGATAACTAACTTTCCACATGGCAGAACTGCTGTGTTCTGATACAGTCACAGGGTTGTTATTCATCTTGTGCCAGTGACAACTGTATCCACCCAACCCACAGAATTGCCAGTTAAACTAATGGTGCCATCTTTTTGCCATACACACAGGTCAAAATGACTCATCACAATTAAAAACTTCTCATCAGACAGTAATTAAGAAAATGACAGAGTAAGCCACTCACAGCAAACATGCCTGGCA